AAAACAATTGAGATTGTTCCCTCGAACGCCCCACAAGAACATAAGACCATTTCGATATCCTAGCAAACCCTCTAGCGGTATAGGAATCGATAAAAGATGGCTTACCTTGATCTCAGCCGCAATGATCGACCACCCAAGCTGCAGTACAACTAACAATGAGCTTACACCTCTACTCCGCGACCTCATTGTAGATCAAAAACCACATAGGTCGGCGAAGGGTTTTGTAGTTTTAATGTTTTCCATACGTTTTCTCACAAAGAAGTAGTGAATATTCTCTGCAATTATTTCAGTTGTTGTATGGTCGCATTGGGCGAATATAAGTTTCGAATCGCGAACAAAACATTGCGAGAATCTCGATTCTTTGTGCAACGACCCCAACATGATCTCGTTTTGTGTGGTATGACAATATTACGTGCTAAGAAGGATACAAAGGATGAAGATGAAGACGAAGAACTCGCTCTGAGTATCCCTCCAATTGCTCAAACTGTTAACACTAGTTCTATTGATCAGAACTTCTATTATAAATAGTACTGACGTGACTTTGTTTTGATCTTTATTTAGAATCTACGTATTGCGTGCTCGTCAAAATGATATTTTCTCCGGTGGCTCGGAAAGGTTCAAATTTTCACTATCTTCCATGGTCATTTGGCTCCGAACTGACCGCTGCACTCTCAACTCCAACTTCCTCCCTACCTATCTATCAAATACGGTCCTTCTCTTATTTCCACGGAAGCGATGTGCCTAGTTTGGAGGCGAAGGTGTACACCTTTAGTATGGTCCTGAAACATCGGAGAGAGGAAGACTGTCTGAAAGTAAAAGTAAGAGTAACGAAACCGTCAGTAGAGAATGCCTAGTAGTGTTGATGCTTGGAATTGGGCCAGATACTGCTGGAATGAGACGCGTTGCAGTGAATGGCACGCTCAAGGCTAGTTGTCGAGACCCAGCGATTCTTCTGCTCCACCACAGGCTTTTGGCACTCCCCTCCCCTCGAAACGTCCCCGAAAGCCAATTATTTGCACTTGCTTGCAGTGAGAAAGAGCGAAGTTGCCACAATAGTTGCCGCCAAGTACTATTACGAATGATGTTATGAGGTTTTTGAAGCTGTTTTGTTATGATAACTGCTGTTTAACGCCGCAGTACGCGTTCCGAATGTTATCACAAGAATGCTGAGTTGTGGGCAAAAGTCGTGCCCCAGGCGGGAGTCGAACCCGCACCTCACGCTTTCCGGGCGAGTGCGCTATCCGTTACGCCACCAGGGCCGCTTTTTAGGCTACGGCACGACTTTTGCCCACAACTCAGCATTCTTGTGATAACATTCGGAACGCGTACTGCGGCGTTAAACAGCAGTTATCATAACAAAACAGCTTCAAAAACATCTAAAGCCTTCGGCCTCGCGGTTTCATGCCGATATCCCATCGATTACGGCTGACCGGCTCACCAAGTTAAACGTGTGAGTGCTGATAGGCTACGGCATAAAAGCCGTTAAGCTGAGAGGGTAAAAGCGGCCCTGGTGGCGTAACGGATAGCGCACTCGCCCGGAAAGCGTGAGGTGCGGGTTCGACTCCCGCCTGGGGCACGACTTTTGCCCACAACTCAGCATTCTTGTGATGATATATGAGGGTTTTTCCTTGCGTCACCCTACATTTTGTCGCGTGAAAGCGCCCATTTGTAAGGGTGAAGATTACGCGGCTGCGTGGTGCAGCAGAAGCGGATTTGCCTCATAGGCCGTATATCAGAAAGCTAGCTTGGTAGGACGAAATTTCAGAGTCGATTAGAAATTTGTTACCAGGTGCGCAGCCTTGTTCGCTGAGGATGATCGAGCGTGTCAAGTGGAACGGTTTTGGCGCAATCCCGTTTTTTTTATTTCGACTACCGACAGCAACGCACTACATCGTTCAAATCAGTCGTTTTCCAGCCGGTTGTCGCTTACCCGCTTCAACAACTGGTGGAGTACAGGCTGGCGGCGCGCCAAACCCAGCCTCATTGACACGCCCTTTCATCGGCAGCGAGCAAGATTGTAGGGTAGGTTCCCGTGCACGAATGCAGCTTCCCCTAGTGAGGTCGACAAAATACATCAATATGTACACCAATAAAAATGGCAACAGCAACAACTATTCAAAATGTTTATTCACGCTGGCCCAAGCTAAGTAAGTGAATATCGATAAGAATAGCAGGAAGGCGACCTGAAATTCTGCAAGTAACTTGATAGTGACGTCACGCAACAAAGCGTCCGGCTTACCACAACCACGACGATGAAGATGTTGTTATAGGATGGCGTTCGTGAAGGTACGTGTTTCTTCGGAACAACTATAGTGACTGAACGAGGAGCTGCTGGCTTTTCAGTGGATAGCGAAACCATTCTATGGAAGTTGCTTAGTTTTAATGAGCCGCCTACCGAATGGTCTCCGGTCAATTGACGCCGTCTTGACATTTGTGTGCACAAGTCAATGGAATCCTTGATGTGCGCGAAACTATGTGGGTGTCATAGTATTGTGTTTTGACAGCGGTAGGAAAGAGCGAAAAAGAGTTTCGTCACTTGGGAGGGGTTTTATGGACGGGTAGAGCGATGGAAACATTAGGTGAAGCTAGCGCAAACCCTAATTTAAGGAGAAGTAGCAGGAGGACCCATAGGACCTTATGTTCGGGGTTTTGCTATCTCTCACGGACAAATAGAACCGACATGTTCAGGAATGTTTAGTAGGAACTTTGTTTGCAGTGGGGCTTTTCGCTCTTCTGGGTCCTTCCGAGGCTTCTTTGAAAGTTTCGGGAATCACTTTGCTTCCGGGTTACTGTCTGTCAAAGATCCAGGTTTGAATTATTCCTGCTGAAGTTGAATGCATAGTTGCGAGTAGTTCAGTGGAACAATCTTCTACCTGAGTGAAGAGAGAAGTCTGCACAGTGGTACTTAGGTTGCTTGCGATGCCCGCCTATCGTCGGAGTCTCCGCCTCAACTGAAAACCGTGAATGGCGGGTGCGTTTGTACTAACTGTGTCTTCAATCTATCGTCTTTCTCACCACTTTGTTCTTCGATCTGTCAGATGAGGGTCAACATCCTTCGGCGTAAGCGCGTAATTTTTGGAAGATACTGAAAAGCATCTTTTAAGGAGATTCTGCCTGTTTTCTTTGCCCATTTCCTCATGAATGGGCAACTGAGCACATTCAGCAGAGCACACTAGAAGAGATACTGGTCGAAACTTTTCAAATGAGGCCCTGCTTACTTCGAGAAAATCGGTGAGAGTTCACGTGAGAGACCAGACAGTAGTAGCGAGAGAGGGAGAGAGAGAGAACGTATAAACGGGCGAGACCATAAACAACGGCTTGGCGCCCCTTCTCTCACAGCTTTGTGACGAAAAAATTGTGCACCGTTGTCCACTCCTGTCCACAGTGACTTACCTCTCAAAAAGCTTCGAAGTGACCGCGGAACCTCCAGTCGAGGTGCATGAGGTCAGACGTGGGGTTGTGCCTCATCGAGGGTATCTAGCAAATGTGAAACAGGAACAACCGAGGGATGTCAGAAAATAAAAGCATTATCTTCAAAGGCAACTATGCCCCGCCGCCGTAACTCCAGCGACCGAACGCGATCCCTTCGATCCCCAACGTGCTTTGATCTCATTTACAGGCAGCGTGCGCACCCATCGAGTCGGTGTGAGAGCACACATTCAGGGTACAGCATCGTTATTTGTGAAATGGTGGTCTGGGTACGACCCCACCTCCGAGAGAAGGTGCCAATATGACCCCCTTTTAAACGGTGGTGTAGGTACGACCCCCTCACCCTTCCCCAACACCTGCCTACCAATT